AAGTTCCGATAGCGAAGTCAATGTGCAAATATTGCCACTTCCTCGCCGGTCTCGATGCTTATACAAATCGTGTTCCCGTTCCACGCTATTATTGCTGACATCTTCGTAGTTTTTTAAAGTCATCCGATAGAAAAATTTCGCGAACCAGCAGGCGTTCGCATAACTGTTGGAACGAGTTTCCCGGTTCCAATGATATTTTGACTTTGATTTTGATGAATGAACTCCTGATTTCTTCCCGTCGTGAAAGCTTGGAAGGAAATATATTTCTCATTGCTCTATAAACATATATTTCTCTACATTTTTTTTTATTAATTTATATGTTTAAATTATTATGATACTTTTTATTGATTATTAATACAAATACTTCGAAGCGCTTGCTGTTTGTTCACTGAGAGGAAATAAGTAGAGACAGGAACAAAATAGGAAATTCTTGCTTTGGAAGTTTATCGGCTCGTTGATCTATAGATACATTTTAATTAGAAAAACTATTTAAAAACAATTTGAAACCATGACAGAGTTCGAGCAATAGTTTTCACAGAAATTATCACGTCGTTTAAACGATAAATTATTTTCAAGTTCTAAAAGAATCATCCATCTGTCGCTTATTTCGCAATTCTCTTTTTAAAAAATCCATCTCCCTTCAATAATAATAATAATAATTTTCCAAATATCCCACATCGCGCGTCGCTACTTTAATCGCGTTTCAATTTCTTCAAATTGGTTTCGTTAGCGAAGACCGTCGACTCAGAGATTGCAATTATCTTCTCGAACTAAACGATCGTTCGAAACTTCGAATGTCTTTCTCGGCTACTTTCCGCGAGTTCTCCGAGACCGAATAGGGAAAAAGATAATTTTTATTGGTGTTCACAAGTACGATCGATTCCCCGCGATCCAGTTTTGTTCCCTGAAACTGTTCTCCACGCTGTTGTCCCGGAAACACCGCACTACTCCCACTTTAATTGTTCCCTTTGTGATTTTAATTTCCTCGTCCTCCTTCGACCATCACTTTCGTCAGCCACGGCTCAACAATATTCCGAAACGCATCGATTTTCTCGTAACGAGCTCGTTTCATCAAAGAACTCGCGAGATAATTCTCATGGCAATTGCCGAGCATTTAATGTCGCAACTTTGAGGCGAAAGAAACGAGATTTATTCAACTCATCTAAAAATTCTTTTCTCATTCCGAACTTTCTTTCAGTCAATCGTTCGAGCATCTTCGATTTATCTGCATTTAATGCTCTACAACAGGAATTTTCTTCATTTACAGATAATTTCAGTTACTTACTTCAATCTTTAATCCGCGAATTAATAATTTTCACAGATAAGTCATTTAGCGTTGTCTGTAATGAAACGGACAAGCGAATGAAATGAAAAAATTTCTAAAAAAAATTATACGAATACATATCTTTGATATTACACGATGTTATAGAGGGTTAAAAATCTATGAATAATAAATTCATAATCTAAGAGATCAGATCTAAAAATAATAAAAAAATGACAGATATCTGTTTCTTTAACTCAAGTTTAAGGGATGAAACCGCCCATTGAAGGTTAACTTCTTCAAAACTAACTCTATCAACTTGAATCATTTTTTAAATTAGAGAAGTGGGATTCGATAGATTAAATTGCAGTACATTTCCACGCACGCCAAAAACACGAGACAAAAAAAAAAAAAAGATAAAGAGAATCACGTGCGATTTGAATGCTGAGAAATTACTATCTTCCAAGTAACGATTATAAACCAGCATTGCTAACCGTTATTAACGCGTTAAGCTCAACTTCACCTCAGCAGACAGTTCGCGTGCGTGCTGGTGTCGGCTCGTATTTCATCGCGCGCGCCTATAAACGCTCTTCTACCCTGCTACACGTCTCGCGCGAATCTGCAAATTTGCAATATCCTTCCTGCTCGCTCCAACCCTTGCCGACTTACTTCGCCTCTGTCACACTGTCTTCGACTTTACGACCCTTTAAAATCCTGTAACGTCGCCCGTTCTGCCTGAGAAATTGTTCATTGACGA